TTTATGTTATTTCATCTGATAAAAGTCAACTAGAATCACATATTCCATAGGTATTTCACAAGACCTAGACAAGTCTGAAACTTTATCCTTGTTATGATTACTTGTCTAAAGAACAACCTAATTCTTTAAAAACTGTAAAGGGTATACGAAAAACAGACTAGAAATCAACTGTTGCATAAAATTATACACAACTAACAATTTAAGGAAGTGACTATGGCTAATAAGACTCTTACAACAAAATATTGGGTACTTTTTTTATATCAGAAATCACTGATTTCCTGTGTAACGATTGCTTAAGTAAATCCTACCCCATTGGGGGTAGGGGGGAATCCTCTTACCCTACATACAAGGCGCATCCCTTCTATATCTTCAGTGGAGAGTAATTTAATTTGAGAAGTACCTTTAAGCGCCTGTTCAGATTCAGACATTCCTGAAATGGAAAATAATTAAGTAAAACCAAAATGAACAGAAAAAAACATAGCATTCATGAGCATAATTATATATCTGATGACATACTAACAGGAAGTATAGTAGCTCCATATGATAAGCACTGGACACATGAATCAAAAGGTCTGTAGTTAGAGCCTGCCAGCTACTCTACAGGAGAAAGATGAGGCTTTCTGCTCCTGCAACATTTAAAAGCCTCAGAAACGCTATACATGGTTCCTGAGTTGGAACCATCGCAAAGGCACTTAACAACAACATATTAGCAGTCAGGTCTATTTCAAAAAACGGTATTTCATAATTTGGGAGGATCCCAGTTACATTTTCTCTTTAATGTTTCCAACATGAGAAAGAATTGTACAAAACAAGCAAACTGAAGGAAGATTTCTAAAGAACAAAACATTCAGATCTATGTGAATCAGCCACTATTTAGAGTACTATGTCAGGTAGTATGCTCAGTAAATGATCCCCACTTGAATAGTAGCATACAACTTACAAAAATTACTTTCGTTATCATTATTTTGTGAAGCAATGATATACAGATATTGATGAATCAATTACACTCATTTATTTTCTTAAAAGGAACCTAAGTCAATGTTTCACAAATTGCAGTTGTGACCCATTAGTGGGACTATGACTAACATTTTTCAACAGTAAATAAATGCAATACAAATATTAGAGTGCATGCTGTTGTGGAGCTGTAAGTTAGGTACAGGACTGCTAATTGCGAAGTCGGCAGTTCAAACCCACCTCAGAAACCTTACACAGGTTCACAAAGAGTCAAAACCAACTCAACAGTACTTAACAACATCATCATTAATAGTATGGTTAAGTGTTGTTATGGAATGCTTGGTTGTTATATTTACTTATATATATATACATGGGAGCTTTCAAAAGTTCATAGAAAAGTGGATTTTAAAGGTAATGTAATTTTCCCATGAAATTTTTGGAGATCTTTTCATACAAACATATATATTTACACAGATGATGATATAAAATAAATTTCTCATTGTTGGTTAAATCCAAATAAAGTTTGAAAAATACTGCCATCTAAGAGTCTCTGAAAAATTAATGAAACTAATTCAAGTTACTTTAAAAAAATAATAAAGCTAGTATAACAATTATTCCAAAATTTGAAAAAAAGATACTACATCATCAACTTACCTATACATACTGATATAAAAATCCTAAATAATATACTTCTAAACTGGTAGCGTAGTGGTTACGAATCGGGCTGCAAACCTTAAGGTCAGCGGTTCGAAACTACCAGCCGCTCTGCGGGAGAAAGATGAGGCTTTCTACTCCCGTAAGGATTTACACCCTCGGAAACCCTGTACAGGGTCGCTATGGGTCGGAACCGACTCGACGGCACTTAACAACAACAACAAACATAATTTTAAAAAGGGATAAATTCCCATTGAGATTCATACCACAAAAGGATAGCACAAATTAACAAACCCATGAATATAATTCACCGTTCTTATTGTTGCACCAGTCTGCTAACCACAAAGTTGAAGGTTCAAACCCACTAGCCATCCTTAGAAACCCTACACAGGGTGGCTGAGTTGGATTTGAACCTCTGACCTTGTATAGGGTTTCAGTGACTATAAATCTTTATAGGAGCAGAAAGCCTCCTTTTTCTCCTGTGGAGCGGCTGCTGGGTTTGAACAGCCAACCTTATAATTAGCAGTCCAGTGTTTATCAAACAGCACCACCAGTGCTGTTGATAATTCACCATAATGTTAAAGAAGGAAAATACAAATGATCATTTCAAATGAAAAGTAATTCTGATTAACATGGCCAGCTACCACCTTAGCATGAAAAATAGAAATCTCATGCACAACATCATGGGATGCCCACTATCAGCACTATTATTTAACATCAGTTAGACAGTATTAGTAGATGTAACTAACAAAAGAAGGAAGTATGATATATAAAAGTGGAGAGAAAGGACAAATATTTATCAATTTTAGATGATTATATAGCACTTGAATAACAGAGCTAATTAAAAAATGACAAGAAGAAAGAATTCAGGAAGTTTGGCAAATTATATCAAATATATATCAAATTAATAATCTAATATGAAAATCAATAACTTTTCCATCTACAAGGGACTTCAAAGTCTGTGAAAAAATTCCTTATTTTCCAATTCCATTATCCAAAGAACTTTTGAAATCTCCTCGTACAAGGAGACATAAAGTAATAAAACATTACTGTTTATAGATTTGTTGTTGAAGTGTGTTGAGTCGGTTCTGACTAATTAGTAACCATGTGTAGAGTTTCCAAGGAGCACCTGTTAATGTCTGAACTTCCAATCTTTTGGTTAGCATAAGACTCAAAATTATAAAGATGTCAATTAAGCATTGATAATTATTGGTGATTAGAATGCAAAAGTTAGAAACAAAGAGGAAGGATCAATAATTGGAAAATCTGGCTCTGGTGAAAGAAATGATACTGGAGAATGGATGACAAACTTTTCCAAAACAAATGAAACTCATTTTACTCCCACTGACCAGGAGATGAGACAGAGAGAAGAGAGGAAGGGCTGGTAGGCCCAAAATGTGGTGAGACCTGAGGACTCCTAAGCCCATGGACAACAAATAGTCACAGAGGACTAGAGCTGAGAGTAAAGCGTCCAGCTGATAGGAAGTGGGGGGAAATGCACAAGAACGCCCAAACTTGTAGACAGTTTAGTACTCATTTGACCTAGCTTCGATGGCTTGATGATCAAAACACGAAAAGAGGAAGATAAAGAAATTTGATAAAGGAAACAAGTGTAAATGGCTACAACTGGATGAACATGACCTATCCTTACAGATGTAGCAACTCAAAATACCAATAAAGAGAGGAGTCTTCAAATTAAGGATCAAACATATACCCTCTATAAACAGGCTTGATAGGGATGGGCAACTTAGACATTGGTTACCTAAAATGGGATGGGGGGCAGGGCATAATGGCACAAAGGGGTTGGTTTACAAGTTTTCAAGAGGGAGTTTAGTTTTAGAGTGTGGGGAAAAGTAGAGTCCCACCGAATAGATTTTATCTTGTTTCAACAGGTCTGGTGAAAGGAGATGGGCATAACATTCTTACAATTCAATAGTGAGTAACTGTTATCATGACTAACTGCTACTGTCACACTGCTAAAAGGTAGAAGTTCTGTAACATAAAGCGGGGAGTAGTTAATCTTACATTCCAGGAACAGAGGACCCTAGGACCATCAAGAGAGAAGAGCATGAGCAAAATGTGGGACCCTGTCCAGAGAAGCAGCAACACCAGAGCTGGAGGCAGAGATGATGACATGGAGAAAGAGCAGCAGAGGACTCCAGACTCATGGAAAGAGAAAGGCTGTGCTGACAGCCAGGAGGCAGGCTTGCAGAATGTGCTCTGGGTTGTTTAAATGATTATATATTCCTGAGTGTTTTTGTGTACATCAAAAAAATAAAAATCAAAGGGAATAGAAGCAAATAAATACTGCTGAATGATGATGCATGGAGGGGATTGTAATCAGTGCAATGATATGAAATATGCTAAGTTGAATGCAAAATTCATGTTCTCCCATGTAAACTATCACTCAATGCACAATAAAACTTAAAAGGGGTGGGGGGAGGCATTCATTTCAAATATCTTTTTACAACAACATAAACAGAGACCAAACACATGGACTTCACCAGACAGAATACACAAGAATCAAACTGACTACATCTTTGGGAAGACACGATGGAGAAGTTCAATACCATCAATCAGTCAAAACAAGGCAAGGGGCCGACTGTGGTACAGACCATCAATTGCTCATATGCAAGTTCAAGTTGAAGATGAAGAAAATTAAAACAAGTTCACGAGAGCCAAAATATGATCTTGAGTATTATTGTTACGTGCCATCACGACAGTGCGGACTTAGAGTAATGTAAGATTTTCAATGAGTGGCTGGTGTGTTTGTGGTTAGTAGTCCAATGCTTATCCCACAGTGTTTTAAATATATCCAAACTGAATTTAGAGACCATCTCAAGAACAAATTTGATACACTGAACACTAACAACTGAAGTCCAGGATAGGTGTGAGATAACTTAAAAAGTTATCTATCATACATGAAGAAAGTAAAAGGTCATTAAAAAGACAGGAAAGAAAAAAAAAGATCAAATTAGATGACAGAAAAGACTCCAAAACTTGCTCTTGAATGTATTGGTAATTACTGATGACTGGAATACAAAGGTTGGACACAAAAGAAAGGATCAGTAATTGAAAATATGACCTTGCTGACAGAAATGATGCAAGAGATCCCATCATAGAATTTTGAAAGACCAATGACTTCTTCATTGTAAATAACATTTTTAAACACTAAAAAAGACAAATATACACACTGACCTCACCAGATGGAATAAACAGAAAATAAAGAGACTATATCTGTGAAAAGGACCAGTGGAAAAGCTCAATAAAATCAGTCAAAACAAGACCAGGGCAAAACTGTGGAACAGAATATCAGTCGCTCATATGCAAGTTTAGGCTGAATCTGAAAAAAATCCAAACACATCCATGAGAGCTAAAAAATGATGCTGAGTATATTCCACCTGAATTTAGAGACCATCTCAAAAACAGATACGATACATCAGACACTAATGACTGAAGCCCAGAAGAGGCGTGAGATGACATCAAAACATCACACAAAAAGAATTCAAAGGATCATTAAGAAGTAAAGAAAAGACCAAAATAGACATCAGAAGAGACACTGTAACTTGCTCTCCAATGTAAAGATGCTAAAGGAAATAAAAGCAAAATGCTGAACAGAAAATTCCAAAGCGCAACTTGAAAACGCAAACTATGATAATGAAATGTGCATAGACCTGGAATTAGAAAACCAAAAAGGAAGAACACACTTAGCATTTTGCAAGCTGAAAGAACAGAAGAAACAATGCAAGCCTTGACTTGCAATATTGAGTGCTTCTATGTCAAAGTGCCTGGTGATGCACTTTAGGTTAAATACTGGCCCAC